ATATTTTTTTAACAAATATCATTGTTTAAAACTTTGAGTTTAAAAAGTTTCCAAAAAGGCGCCACTTTGCTGAAAATGGCCAGAGGGGGAGCGGCCGCTCCCCCTGCTCCCCCCCTGCGTACGCTACTGACTCTAACTAAGGAAAATCTCATCTTAGTGTAACCAAAAAATCATTAAACCTCACTAAGGAATATTGCCTCTTAGTGTATCTCAAATAAATCTAACTGAGGAAAACTCTATTTTAGTAGAACAAAATTATAGCTATGTAATAGCTCCCATGGGCAAATCATATCCTTGATCTCCCTACTTCAATGGTTGAGGTCACCTCCTCATCATAACATATGTAAATTACCACATCTGTCAGGTCATACTGCCATAATCATGTTCATTACTTAACAAGATATACAGTATGCATACAAATCATAAAGTACAATAAAATGTATGTTCATTTTCATTACTAAATTAAAATAGTGGTAAAACATATTTATACAAGTCATGTTATGACTTATTCTTATCTTGCTCACATTTGTAAAATGCTAATGTTCTCTGGAAGTACACATCACATACTACATTATTCAAAATTTCCTTATAAGGATTGGCTGATATGTCTCAGGTCATTATTTTCTTTAGTCAGTTCCATGTTTGTTTATTTATCTTTTATCTTTCTTGATAAAAAATTTAGCTAGTGTATTGTGCAGTCCCTTTACAGGTTAGCTTTTCTTGACATAATGTTCTTAGACAAATCCATTTTCCTTATGAAAGCAGTATTTACTGAGTCAAAATTCCAAACACATAGTTAAGCTCTGTTAATTGAATACACTTTAAACAACAATAGGATCCATTAGCATTACCATATAAAGTGTAAAAGAAATACACAACTGTTATGTTCATAAACATCAGCTAACAAAATACAAGGTCCAATAATAAACTAAACATTTGTTAACACATTATGATAACAAACTCCATGCTTTACTTTAAATGGTTTTCTAACTTACAAATTTTTCTAAAGTCAATAACATGTAAAATAATGTATGTTAGTGGTCCTCAGTGGTGGTAGCTATACTTTAAATCACTGATGCTTAAGTACCAATGCACACAACATAAAAATAACAGGTTTTGTTAGCCAAAAAGGAATGTGTACAGCCAATCACTGAAATAAATTTTTTAAAACTGTTGAGGTTGGTGATACACTAAAATGGTTAAAAATTAGATTGTTACATCCACTAAACCAGGTTATATATGCATGATAACTGATGTTACATATTAAAACTTGAAAGTGAAATCTTAAAGGAGTAGTAAGTTCAGTATATTTATCCACAAAATATTATAAAAATTGCATAGTCCAACCAATGATTTCACTTCTTTCTTTGTAGTAGGGGTTTTGATATTTAATGTTTTGTCCTTATTTCCTTCAGTAGGTCTAATTTCTTTATTTCCAACCTTGAATCCTAGGAATTCTACTGTATTTACTCCCACATGCAGTTTCTCTGGTGCTATGGTAAACACATGTTTTCTAAGTCTTTCTAGTATTTCTTTTAGTGTTTCTATGTGTTCTGCTCATGTGTTATTATGTATGCATATATCATCAACAAAGAAGACCAGGTTTTTCATTCCCTCTGTCATTTTATTCATGAATTTTTGGAATGTGGCAGTACTGTTCACAAGTCCAAATGGCATCACCTTCCATTGTCATAGACCTTTGCTAGATGTAAAGCGGTGTATTGTCTTGACCCCTTTTCCAGTCCTATTTGCCAGAAGCCTCTGTTCAAATCACAAGTGGTGAAAATTAAGGATTTACTGATAGTTTCTAAAATGTCTTTAGGATCATTCATGGGTGCAGCATCTATCTTAGTCCTTTTATTTAATTCTCGATAGTCACAACATATCCATACTTTGTTGTTCTTTTTTCTTACTATTACCATGGGTGATGAGTATGCTGATTCTGTTCTTTCTATTTGCCCAGATTCAAGTAGCAAATTCAGTTCTGCTTCAACAGCTTCTCTATAGGCAACTGTTACTTTGTAATGTTTCCCTTTCATAGCACTATAATCAGTCAATTCTATTTTGTGTTGAATTGTTTCAGTAAAACCCATTTCTGTTGTAATATCATCCTTGTATTCATTTATCATTTTGTCCATTATGTTTTTCTCCTTCACTGGGATATGATAAGTCTTAATTTCTTGTGTATTACAGCTTTCACTCATTATAGTACAGGCCATATGTTCCTCTTCTATCAGTTTCTCTGGCTCTACATATAATTTCTTCATTCTGTCCATGTGTATAGGAGTGTTATTTCCCTTTATGTTTATTTCATCATTTACATCAGATAGTTTCTTGATTACTTCAAAAGGTCCTTGAAATGCTTCTATGTTTTCTCTGTCTGGCAGTTTGACAAAAACTAAATCTCTTCTTTCAAAAGTTCTTAGATGTCTATGTTTGTTTTTTATATTTCTGTGCCTTTCACTGGCTAACTGTGCATTCTCTTGGGCTGTCTGAACACCATAAAATATTCTCTCTCTAGTCTGGTTTACTATTTCATGAGGATCAAAGTCCTCTTCCTGTTTATTTAATAATTCAAGTTCAAAAGGAGAAAAACCTGTTGACTCATGTTTAGTTTCTCTGTTTGCGAATAGTACTTGAGATTGGTTACTTTTACTTTTTTTAAACTCTAACTCATGCTGTCTCTGTTTTTCTCTATCTTCGGCCTCCATTTTAACTTCTGCTAGATCTAGTTCCCTATCAGCCTTCATTTTAACCATTTCCTTCTCAGCCTTCATTTTAATTTTATCCTTCTCAGCCTCCCTTTTAAATTTTTCCAACTCAGCCTTCATTTTAACTGTTTACTTCTCAATCTCCATTTTATATATAGCGAATTCCCTCTCTGACTCTCTTTCTTTCCTTTCAATTGCATCCAATTTCTTCTTTTCAGCCTCTGATACTTTATGTTCAACCCATTTGGCCTTTTCTGCCCCAGTGTATCCAAAAGAGTCAGCCAACTCCATGTATTTGGCATAGAACTCGATATCCATCGTAATGATGCAAGCACAGTTATTCAGTTACAATACTAAATCTAGATTTAATTTTTTTCCTTCACGGTGCTGAGCACCGACCACTTCTGACACCAAAATGTCACACCCTTTTTGTGTGACTGGGTTCACGATATAAACTTGCCACAGGCCTTTCTCCTACCTTTATCTATCACATACGAAATCACAAGACAAGCCTTCTTTTACGTTCTATATACATTTATTTTGTCTTCACATAGACGGCGTGTTCAGCCAAGCTACGCCATGTTCTTGCCTTCCTCTCTTTTCCTCTCGCGCATGCGCACAGCAACTGTCTTTTTCTGATGCAATCTCACACACACACTCCCAAGCTACGATCCATAAATATTTCACTGTTATAGTTACTATTTGAATTCACCGGCGGCAGTGTCATCCGGAGCGCATCACGTATGAGCAGTTTGGCCTCCATATTCTGTAAAAATGCTTACTATACTAAAGATGAGTCTCGATAGTACGATTCGATGACTAAATCTAACAGGGGTTGCACCCATCACCCCTGCAGTAATGTAACCTGGGGCTCCCATGAACTCCGTGACTCCCCTGACACCCGGGCCGTCGACGAGGTGTGATCAGCATAAACAGAAGCTTACAGCATGCCTTGGTGTGTCTCGTTGGTAGTGTGGGACTTACAGCATGCCTTGGTGTGTCTCGTTGGTAGTGTGGACAAACCCGCGCTCCAACAACTAAGATCCAAGAAATTAACTGCCTACATTGTTCACGTGTAATTAAACTTCTTGAAAACAAAGCACGCGTCTCAAAATACACGATTGATAACGTTATGATGAAACCTCATAAAATCAACGTCAGTTTGGTGCGTTGGACTAGATTTAGAGAGTCCGTGCTTCTCACTGGAAAAACTATATAGAGCCAGCTCGCGTGTTGAAAACCTCTGATTTATTCCTGAACCAGATGAAAGAAAAAATGTTCACAAGAACTCTTGTAAATTCAAATAAAACAAATATAAAAAATCTTTCTAATAGCAAGCTTTTAAATGAACTGAAAATAAAATAAAACTAGTTTGCATTCTTTTATAAAAGCTTTGGTTGCTAAAAAGTGTAAATGATTTCATGATTAACCAAAGCTAATACGAAAGAAAGCAAACTAGTATTATTTTCTTATTTTCAGTGCATTTAAAAGCTTGCTATTAGAAAAGATCTTTATATTTATTTGATTTTCTACTTTTTAGTGATTCATAATTTATGAAGTCGACACGACTAAAAATATTTACTTAAAACACAATTAGCAGATTGCGATGTCTAAAAGACGATTATCTGCCCGAAAGCCGTTCGTAACCATATTTTACAGACGACAGCAAGTTCTTAATTATTGTTTTTATTTTTACCTCCCCTTAGTTTCAAATCGTTTAAAAACTTTATTATCTTCCCCTAATAACCTTCACTAGATCGACCGTCTTCTGGATTGTAAACATTCGGCGTGAACACAGCTCACCAGACTGGTTGGTTTATAGCGTCACGCAGTATAGCTAGTTATCTCCCCTTCTGTTATTCAATATAGTAATCTATCTAGTGATTTATTTTTATAATCTAATTAAATTAAAAAATAGACAGACTTGTATTACCTTCAAAGTGGAAAGTATCTGGAAAGTTTGAACTAAATCGCTGCAGTAGAAGTGGGTCGAATTTTAGTTAAAAGATTTGCCACAAACACAGAAAAAAACTACAAACAAACAAACAAGCAAAGAAACAAACAGACGTTACGAACTAAAAAGAAACGTGTAAAAAATTGGACCAGCACTTGTTTTTGATATAGGAATGAACAAAAACTCTAGTTGGACAAAGCTCAGTAGAAACAACATCAACAGCAAGTGACATATGACAAGTGTCACATGACAAATGACACACGACAAGTGACACACGACCAGTGGTCAGTGATAAAAATGTAAGAAAATGTATGTATGGTCAAATTTATTTTCAGGTCACTGTGTGCACATAGAATCCGGTAAATCGTACAGGGAGGGGGAGAGATGGACGGTGGGCTGCCAGTACAACTGTCTGTGTGTGGACGCAAGTCTCGGACAGTACATCTGCACTGACATGTCAGTTCAAACTTTAAAACCTCTCAGTTACATGTGGACATGTGCGATTGTTAAACTGTTGTTTTTTTAGAAATCTAATCCTTTTGTGACGTTGTTGTCGTAAAAACTGAGAGCTCTTAAAAAATGTAAAACGTTCTAGAACATAGGGAATGCATATTTGTAAAAACAATTCTAGAACAATGAACAAGACTACCAAATTACAGGTGTAAAAAGTTTATCTGTCCCGATGGCTTCACCTGTTCTTCGTACACCGACCCCCAGTTCCCGTGTTGCAACCTGATGGAAATCAACCTGCCAACCCAGGACCCACTTGGTATGTTGATCTAAATCAACTTTCTATCTTGTTGGGACCCACATTTTTGTTTATCGGTATCCACTTTGTACGTTTATCGGTACCCACTTTGTACGTTTATCGGTACCCACTTTGTACGTTTATCGGTACCCACTTTGTACGTTTATCGGTACCGACTTTGTACGTTTATCGGTACCCACTTTGTACGTTTATCGGTACCCACTTTGTACGTCTGCTTATTAATTTTGTTTCCTTTGTTTCAGTGCCAACAGTCGTCCCAACATCTCTGGTATCTGGTAAGTTGCCAACATCTCTGGTATCTGGTAAGTTGCCAACATCTCTGGTATCTGGTAAGTTGCCAACATCTCTGGTATCTGGTAAGTTGCCAACATCTCTGGTATCTGGTAAGTTGCCAACATCTCTGGTATCTGGTAAGTTGCCAACATCTCTGGTATCTGGTAAGTTGCCGACATCTCTGGTATCTGGTAAGTTGCCAACATCTCTGGTATCTGGTAAGTTGCCAACATCTCTGGTATCTGGTAAGTTGCCAACATCTCTGGTATCTGGTAAGTTGCCAACATCTCTGGTATCTGGTAAGTTGCCAACATCTCTGGTATCTGGTAAGTTGCCGACATCTGTGGTATCTGGTAAGTTGCCAACATCTCTGGTATCTATTAAGTTGCGGCAACACTAATACATATCCAAAAACATTTACAACATATCCCAGCTTAAACTGCAAGGTTTCTAATTAACATCCTGCAACATATCCGAAAAAAGCACACCAGCAACAAATCCCACAAAAATCTATAATAAATCCCAGCAACATATCTCAGGAACTTATCTTTGCAACATCTACAATAAATCTGACACGAATCATAATTGAAAATTTTTCAAAAATTTGATAGACACGACAGAGAAATACTTGCGCACATATTATTTTCAACAAAAGTCCGTATAAAGGTATCCATATATCGCTGCCGATTCTGACGTGATATCCGGCGAAAATATTTTGCGGACAGACAGAGAGAGAGAGAAGTGCGCACAGGGTCTTTTATATATTAGGATGCTAATTATAATATTCTAACAATTGTGTCCTCTTACACATCTGCATAATTTTCATTCACACTTTGCTAATAATATTATTGAAACAATAATTCCTTCATGGAGGCCCGCAGATTTTGCATTCACATTCGTTTTTATTAGCGGGAGTTGAATTTATTTTTATTTTACCACCCTTGAAAAATTACAAAACAGTTTAATTAATTCGTTTTCTCGACCCTATTATTATTAAATGTATCCACTTTTTCTAGGACTCTAAACGAAAATGATATTTGACCTTGATCCGTTTAATATGTATTAGCAATGTGCGTGTATTTAATATTATCTTTAAGTTATGCAAAAGAGTAAAACAGTGGCAATTATAAAATAAATTTAAGTCGTTATATAAACAAGCTCTACTCTATCACTTATAATAAGACACTGCGATGCAAGTACAAAGCACGACATGTGATGTGTTTACTTTAAGCGTTCCAAAATCTATAACGATGACGGACTGACAAACTACCAGCCCGCTTATATATGTTACGGTCAAAGCCCGAAGTGCGGCCAAATCGCGCATTGGCCGGCCAATGTGCGCACTGGCTGGCTCTCTTGGCCAAAGCCCGAAGAGCTTAGCTCTGATAGCGTATTTCGTACATTGACCGGTCAATGCGCGCACTGGCCGGGATGTCCCGGGCAATGTCCTATCTAGACTAAAATGTGATCGCGTTTTTATTATTCTGGGTCCGATTTCATTGTGAGTAACGTATTGTTTAGCTATTGTTTGTATAGTATTCTATATGCAAGGCGACATGGACTAAAAGGGCCGTCAGACCAAGAGACCAAGAGACAGACATACCAGATGGTTGCCAAAATATTTCTGAACTAAAGAACATGTGGCCTGAACTTAAACTAGTTCACGGAAAACCAAGACATAGCCAAAGCCAAGATTCAGTAGAATGTGCCAACTAAGATGTTCAAAACATAATGATGACATGGATGCAGACAAATGAATCAGCTTATTGGGCTGAGATTCTCAAATTCATTCAATTTATGAAAAATCGTTCTTTTCATCCAGGAATCCAACAATCGCCATGCGAAGCCTTGTTTGGATGCAAAGCAAAAGTGGGATTTAACACTTCAAATCTACCTAGAGGGTCTCTCGATAATTTAGTTACTGAGGAAGATCTTGAGAACATTGAACAAGAAATGGAGGTTGCCATAAATGCAACGACATCCTCAGCTAACACATCTGCTGCCGTGGCGGAACGTCCAGACCAGCTGCGTGACAATAATAAGGCCAACAGATTCTGTGTAGTTTGTGAAAAAGATTGTAGTGCAGCCCATTCTTGTGGATCCTGTGGCAACGATGTCCATGCAATATGCGGAATAGCCAATGAAGCAAACGAAGAGTAAAGAGGGAACATTACTTGCAGATTATGTCACAATAAATAAGAAATCATTGACAACAGGTCATACTAGCTTGCAAACTCAAGGTGCTAAGATGCTAACAAAATCAGATACACATTTTAAACAAGCTGAAGTGGGAGATAATGTTCGCATCCGTATACCAGATGTTGACAGAGGTCGCGGTGATCACCTAAAGCGTCATTGCAGTAGTCATGAGCGTCGATGACGCTTTCTACAAGCTAAGAACGGAACATGGTGTTCTAAAACAACTGTATGCTCGTCCATTAGCACTGAGAAAAAATCACTACGAACCATCGCATCTTAACAACCACTGACCGGCGGCCAAGGCTACACTCGCTGCAATTGCACAACCAAGTGCACAACAAATCGCTGCAAGTGTAAAAATAAAAAGCTACTATGTAATTCAGAATGCCATAAAAGTTCAACTTGTTGTAATAAGTGATAATATTGATTGATTGAGACTACAATACAATAAAAAATTTGAATGTTTCTATCATTTACTTTAATTAACAATCAATAAAGACTTAAGTTCATGATCCTTACGGTATAAAAAACCCAAGATCTGTTCATGATCTTTTAATTCGGACTTTGGCCGGTCGTCCCTAGCCAGATGATTTTCTAATTCGGACGGGCCAGCCAAAGGCCGAAATCAAAAGCCATTTCAGACTTTGGCCGGTCCACCATGGCCAGTCCGCGGATAGGCCGGCCAAAGGACGAAATCAAGTAAAGTTTAGGACTTTGACCGGTCAATGGGAGGTAATATTGGCCAATGCGCGAAATTGGCCGACTTCGGGCTTTGACCGTAACACACACACACACACACACACACACACATATATATATATATATATATATATATATATATATATATATATATATATATATATATATATATATATATATATATATATATATATATATAATATATAATATATATATATATCATCCCCCTTGAGTGCACGTAACATTTAGTTTCTTTGTCAGGACGTACCTGCCATTATAACGGAAAAGACTACCATGAGGGGGAGGTGTGGCAGGAGGGATGTGACAAAAGATGCCACTGTCAAGCATTGAACGCCACTTTCATGTCCGTCGCATGCCAAGATTTGTAAGTCAAGATTAAATCTGACGCATGTCAAGATTTAAGTCAAGATTAAATCTGACGCATGTCAAGATTTAAGTCAAGATTAAATCTGACGCATGTCAAGATTTATAATGTATGATGTAATGAGTGTGTCGTGATGTAAGATGTGTGATGTAATGAGTGTGTCGTGATGTAAGATGTGTGATGTAATGAGTGTGTCGTGATGTAAGATGTGTGATGTGTGATGTAATGAGTGTGTCGTGATGTAAGATGTGTGATGTAATGAGTGTGTCGTGATGTAAGATGTGTGATGTGTGATGTAATGAGTGTGTCGTGATGTAAGATGTGTGATGTAATGAGTGTGTCGTGATGTAAGATGTGTGATGTGTGATGTAATGAGTGTGTCGTGATGTAAGATGTGTGATGTAATGAGTGTGTCGTGATGTAAGATGTAATCTAGAGCTGTATGTATAGGTGCCCGACTTACATCAACCTCCCACCTGGCTGTACAGAGGTCAGAACACCTGGCGAGTGCTGCCCAACGTTAGTAGGTGACACCTGCTCAGGTGAGACAGTTTCAGCTAGACACTAACCCTAGCCATAACTCTAACCCTAAACATAACATTAACCCTAGCCATAACACTAACTCTAGCCATAACACTAACCCTAGCCATAACACTAACCCTAGCCATAACTCTAACCCTAAACATAACATTAACCCTAGCCATAACACTGACCCTAGCCATAACACTAACCCTAGCCATAACACTAACCCTAGCCATAACACTAACCCTAGCCATAACACTAACCCTAACCCTAACCATAACACTAACCCTAGCCATAACAGTAACCCTAGCCATAACAGTAACCCTAGCCATAACATTAACCCTAGCAATAACAGTAACCCTAGCCATAACACTAACTCTAACCCTAGCCATCAGTAAGATAATATGACTTTTTCTACAACAATATTATATCACTGCCCTCATATTATATTATGACTTTTCTATTACTATATTATATCCCTGTCATCATATTATAACATGACTTTTTTATAACTGCCCCAAATTTTAATTTTATTCACAAGCTGATCCTTACTTACCTTAGTCCAACCCTTAATTGGTTACAATTACATAACTCTATACGGCTAAAATACTGCAATTCTAAATAACTTAATATGACAAGCCAACAAACCAATCGAAAATAATCGTTTAAACTCTACAATGATTGTTATAATCGTTTAAACTCTACAATGATTGTTATAATCGTTTAAACTCTACAGTGATTGTTATAATCGTTTGAACTCTACAATGATTGTTATAATCGTTTGAACTCTACAATGATTGTTATAATCGTTTAAACTCTACAATGATTGTTATAATCGTTTGAACTCTACAACGATTGTAATAATCTTTTTTACTCTACAATGATTGTTATAATCGTTTGAACTCTACAATGATTGTTATAATAGTTTGAACTCTACAATGATTGTTATAATCGTTTAAACTCTACAATAAATGTTATAATCGTTTGAACTCTACAATGATTGTTATAATCGTTCTACAATGATTGTTATAATCGTTCTACAATGATTGTTATAATCGTTTGAACTCTACAATGATTGTTAGAATCGTTTAAACTCTACAATGATTGTTATAATCGTTTAAACTCTACAATGATTGTTATAATCATTTAAACTCTACAATGATTGTTATAATCGTTTAAACTCTACAATAAATGTTATAATCGTTTAAACTCTACAATGATTGTTATAATCGTTTGAACTCTACAATGATTGTTATAATCGTTTAAACTCTACAATGATTGTTATAATCGTTTAAACTCTACAATGATTGTTATAATCGTTGAACTCTACAATGATTGTTATAATCGTTTGAACTCTACAATGATTGTTATAATCCTTCTACAATGATTAATATAATCGTTTCAACTCTACAATGATTGTTATAATCGTTCTACAATGATTGTTATAATCGTTCTACAATGATTGTTATAATCGTTTGAACTCTACAATGATTGTTATAATCGTTTGAACTCTACAATGATTGTTATAATCGTTTAAACTCTACAATGATTGTTATAATCGTTTAAACTCTACAATGATTGTTATAATCGTTTGAACTCTACAATGATTGTTATAATCGTTTAAACTCTACAATGATTGTTATAATCGTTTAAACTCTGCAATGATTGTTATAATCGTTTGAACTCTACAATGATTGTTATAATCGTTTGAACCCTACAATCATTGTTATAATTGTTTGAACTCTACAATGATTGTTATAATCGTTTGAACTCTACAATGATTGTTATAATCGTTCTACAATGATTGTTATAATCGTTTGAACTCTACAATGATTGTTATAATCGTTTAAACTCTACAATGATTGTAATAATCGTTTGAACTCTACAATGATTGTTATAATCGTTTGAACTCTACAATGATTGTTATAATCGTTTAAACTCTACAATAAATGTTATAATCGTTTAAACTCTACAATGATTGTTATAATCGTTTCAACTCTACAATGATTGTTATAATCGTTCTACAATGATTGTTATAATCGTTTGAACTCTACAATGATTGTTATAATCGTTTAAACTCTACAATGATTGTTATAATCGTTTGAACTCTCCAATGATTGTTATAATCGTTTAAACTCTACAATGATTGTTGTAATCGTTTAAACTCTACAATAAATGTTATAATCGTTTAAACTCTACAATGATTGTTATAATCGTTTGAACTCTACAATTATTGTTATAATCGTTTAAACTCTACAATGATTGTTATAATCGTTTAAACTCTACAATGATTGTTATAATCGTTTGAACTCTATATTGATTGTTATAATCGTTCTACAATGATTGTTATAATCGTTCTACAATGATTGTTATAATCGTTTGAACTCTACAATGATTGTTATAATCGTTCTACAATGATTGTTATAATCGTTTAAACTCTACAATGATTGTTATAATCGTTTGAACTCTACAATGATTGTTATAATCGTTCTACAATGATTGTTATAATCGTTTAAACTCTACAATGATTGTTATAATCGTTTGAACTCTACAATGATTGTTATAATCGTTCTACAATGATTGTTATAATCGTTTGAACTCTACAATGATTGTTAGAATCGTTTAAACTCTACAATGATTGTTATAATCGTTTGAACTCTACAATGATTGTTATAATCGTTTAAACTCTACAATGATTGTTATAATCGTTTGAACTCTACAATGATTGTTATAATCGTTTAAACTCTACAATGATTGTTATAATCGTTTAAACTCTGCAATGATTGTTATAATCGTTTGAACTCTACAATGATTGTTATAATCGTTTGAACCCTACAATTATTGTTATAATTGTTTGAACTCTACAATGATTGTTATAATCGTTCTACAATGATTGTTATAATCGTTTGAACTTTACAATGATTGTTATAATCGTTTGAACTCTACAATGATTGTTATAATCGTTTGAACTCTACAATTATTGTTATAATCGTTTAAACTCTACAATGATTGTTATAATCGTTTAAACTCTACAATGATTGTTATAATCGTTTAAACTCTACAATGATTGTTATAATCGTTTAAACTCTACAATGATTGTTATAATCGTTTAAACTCTACAATGATTGTTATAATCGTTTAAACTCTACAATGATTGTTATAATCGTTTGAACTCTACAATGATTGTTTTAATCGTTTAAGCTCTACAATGATTGTTATAATCATTTGAACTCTACAATGATTGTTATAATCGTTTGAACTCTACAATGATTGTTATAATCGTTTAAACTCTACAATGATTGTTATAATCGTTTAAACTCTTAAATGATTGTTATAATCGTTTAAACTCTACAATGATTGTTATAATCGTTTGAATTCTACAATGATTGTTATTATCGTTTGAATTCTACAATGATTGTTATAATCGTTTGAACTCTACAATGATTGTTATAAACGTTTGAACTCTGATTGTCATATGACAGGTCAGTACTGCCTGGATCCCCAGGGTAACCCCCACCTCCCGGGGAGCAGCTGGAGGGAGGGCTGCTCTTACGAGTGTACCTGTCTACAGAGGGCTGATGGATTTTATCGCGAGTGTCGCGGCATGTGAGTACCTCTGTCAGGTTAAGCCTAGGGTTAGGGTCAAGGTTAGGGTCAAGGTCAGGGTCAGGGTTAGCAGGTGTCTCGGCACATGTATGGGGGTTGAAAGGTAAATTACGTCATGTTAAATAGTTTGTGGTGTGGTTTTCCTATCGTCTGGGTAATCATCGTGTGTAGGCTGGTCTTCAGGTGGTGGTAGAGTGGTCCTACAAGTGGTAGTAGAGTGGTCCTACAAGTGGTAGAAGAGTGGTCCTACAAGTGGTAGTAGATTGGTCCTACAATTGGTAGTAGAGTGGTCCTACAAGTGGTAGAGTGGTCCTACTGGTGGTAGTAGAGTGGTCCTACAAGTGGTAGTAGAGTGGTCCCACAACTGGTAGTAGAGTGGTCCTACAAGTGGTAGAGTGGTCCTACTGGTGGTGGTTAAGTGGTCCTACAGGTGGTAGTATAGTGGTCCTACAGGTGGTAGTGTGGTCCTACAGGTGGTGGTAGAGTGGTCCTACAAGTGGTAGTAGAGTGGTCCTACAGGTGGTAGTGTGGTCCTACAGGTGGTAGAGTGGTCCTACAGGTGGTGGTAGAGTGGTCCTACAGGTAACGGTAGAGTGGCTTTCAAGTGGCAGTAGAGTGGTCCTACAGGTGGTGGTAGAGTGGCTCTACAAGTGGTGGTAGAGTGGTCCTACACGTGGTGGTAGAGTGGCTCTACAAGTGGTGGTAGAGTGGCCCTACAGGTGGTAGTGTGGTCCTACAGGTGGTAGAGTGGTCCTACAGGTGGTGGTAGAGTGGTCCTACAGGTGGCGGTAGAGTGGTCCTACAGGTGGTAGTGGGGTCCTGCAGGTGGTGGTAGAGTGGTCCTACAGTTGACGGTAGAGTGGTCCTACAGGTGGTAGTAGAGTGGTCCTACAGGTGGTAGAGTGGTCCTACAGGAGGTGGTAGGGTGGTCCTACAGGTGGTGATAGAGTGGTCCTACAGGTGGTGATAGAGTGGTCCTACAGGTTGTGGTAGAGTGGTCCTACAGGTGGTGGTAGAGTGGTCCTACAGGTGGTAGAGTGGTCCTACAGGTGGTGGTAGAGTGGCCCTACAGGTGGTGGTAGAGTGGTCTTACAGGTGGTAGAGTGGTCCTACAGGTGGTAGTGTGGTCCTACAGGTGGTGGTAGAGTGGTCCTACAGGTGGTAGTAGAGTGGTCCTACACGTGGTAGAGTGGTCCTACAGGTGGTGGTAGAGTGGTCCTACAGGTGGTGGTATAGTGGTCCTACAGGTGGTAGTAGAGTGGTCCTACACGTGGTAGAGTGGTCCTACAGGTGGTGGTAGAGTGGTCCTACAGGTGGTGGTAGAGTGGTCCTACAGGTGGTGGTAGAGTGGTCCTACAGGTGGTAGTGGGGTCCTGCAGGTGGTGGTAGAGTGGTCCTACAGGTGACGGTAGAGTGGTCCTACAGGTGGTAGTAGAGTGGTCCTACAGGTGGTAGAGTGGTCCTACAGGTGGTGGTAGGGTGGTCCTACAGGTGGTGATAGAGTGGTCCTACAGGTGGTGGTAGAGTGGTCCTACAGGTGGTAGATTGGTCCTACAGGTGGTGGTAGAGTGGTCCTACAGGTGGTAGAGTGGTCCTACAGGTGGTGGTAGAGTGGCCCTACAGGTGGTGGTAGAGTGGCCCTACAGGTGGTAGAGTGGTCCTGCAGGTGGAAGTAGAGTGGTCCTACAGGTGGTAGAGTGGTCCTACAGGTGGTAGAGTGGTCCTACAGGTGGTAGAGTGGTCCTATAGGTGGTAGTAGAGTGGTCCTACAGGTGGTGGTAGAGTGGTCCTACAGGTGTTAGTAGAGTGGTCCTACAGGTGGTGGTAGAGTGGTCCTACAGGTGGTAGAGTGGTCCTACCGGTGGTAGTGTTGTCCTACAGGTGGTGGTAGAGTGGTCCTACAGGTGGTAGAGTGGCCCTACACGTGGTAGAGTGGTCCTACAGGTGGTGGTAGAGTGGTCCTACAGGTGGTGGTAGAGTGGTCCTACAGGTGGTGGTAGAGTGGTCCTACAGGTGGTGGTAGAGTGGACCTACAGGTGGTAGAGTGGTCCTACAGGTGGTGGTAGAGTGGTCCTACAGGTGGTGGTAGAGTGGTCCTACAGGTGGTGGTAGAGTGGTCCTACAGGTGGTGGTAGAGTGGTCCTACAGGTGGTGGTAGAGTGGTCCTACAGGTGGGCGAGTGGTCCTACAGGTGGTAGAGTGGTCCTACAGGTGGTAGAGTGGTCCTACAGGTGGTAGAGTGGTCCTACAGGTGGTAGAATGGTCCTACCGGTGGTAGAGTGGTCCTACAGGTGGTGGTAGGGTGGTCCTACAGGTGGTGATAGAGTGGTCCTACAGGTGGTTATAGAGTGGTCCTACAGGTGGTGGTAGAGTGGTCCTACAGGTGGTGGTAGAGTGGTCCTACAGGTGGTAGAGTGGTCCTACAGGTGGTGGTAGAGTGGCCCTACAGGTGGTGGTAGAGTGGCCCTACAGGTGGTAGAGTGGACCTACAGGTGGTAGTAGAGTGGTCCTACAAGTGGTAGAGTGGTCCTACAGGTGGTAGAGTGGTCCTACAGGTGCTAGAGTGGTCCTACAGGTGGTAGTAGACTGGTCCTACAGGTGGTGGTAGAGTGGTCCTACAGGTGGTAGAGTGGTCCTACAGGTGGTAGAGTGGTCCTACAGGTGGTGGTAGAGTGGTCCTACAGGTGGTAGAGTGGTCCTACAGGTGGTAGTGTGGTCCTACAGGTGGTGGTAGAGTGGTCCTACAGGTGGTAGTAGAGTGGTCCTACACGTGGTAGAGTGGTCCTACAGGTGGTGGTAGAGTGGTCCTACAGGTGGTGGTAGAGTGGTCCTACAGGTGGTAGTAGAGTGGTCCTACACGTGGTAGAGTGGTCCTACAGGTGGTGGTAGAGTGGTCCTACAGGTGGTGGTAGAGTGGTCCTACAGGTGGTGGTAGAGTGGTCCTACAGTTGGTAGTGGGGTCCTGCAGGTGGTGGTAGAGTGGTCCTACAGGTGACGGTAGAGTGGTCCTACAGGTGGTAGTAGAGTGGTCCTACAGGTGGTAGAGTGGTCCTACAGGAGGTGGTAGGGTGGTCCTACAGGTGGTGATAGAGTGGTCCTACAGGTGGTGATAGAGTGGTCCTACAGGTTGTGGTAGAGTGGTCCTACAGGTGGTGGTAGAGTGGTCCTACAGGTGGTAGAGTGGTCCTACAGGTGGTGGTAGAGTGGCCCTACAGGTGGTGGTAGAGTGGCCCTACAGGTGGTAGAGTGGTCCTACAGGTGGTAGTAGAGTGGTCCTACAGGTGGTAGAGTGGTCCTACAGGTGGTAGAGTGGTCCTACAGGTGGTAGAGTGGTCCTATAGGTGGTAGTAGAGTGGTCCTACAGGTGGTGGTAGAGTGGTCCTACAGGTGGTAGAGTGGTCCTACCGGTGGTAGTGTTGTCCTACAGGTGGTGGTAGAGTGGTCCTACAGGTGGTAGAGTGGCCCTACAGGTGGTAGAGTGGTCCTACAGGTGGTAGTAGAGTGGTCCTACACGTGGTAGAGTGGTCCTACAGGTGGTGGTAGAGTGGTCCTACAGGTGGTGGTAGAGTGGTCCTACAGGTGGTAGTGTGGTCCTACAGGTGGTGGTAGAGTGGTCCTACAGGTGGTGGTAGAGTGGACCTACAGGTGGTAGAGTGGTCCTACAGGTGGTGGTAGAGTGGTCCTACAGGTGGTGGTAGAGTGGTCCTACAGGTGGTGGTAGAGTGGTCCTACAGGTGGTGGTAGAGTTGTCCTACATGTGGTAGAGTGGTCCTACAGGTGGTAGAGTGGTCCTACAGGTGGTAGAGTGGTCCTACAGGTGGTAGAGTGGTCCTACAGGTGGTATAGTGGTCCTACCGGTGGTAGAGTGGTCCTACAGGTGGTGGTAGAGTGGTCCTACAGGTGGTAGATTGGTCCTACAGGTGGTGGTAGAGTGGTCCTACAGGTGGTGGTAGAGTGGTCCTACAGGTGGTAGATTGGTCCTACAGGTGGTGGTAGAGTGGTCCTACAGGTGGTAGACTGGTCCTATAGGTGGTAGAGTGGTCCTACAGGTGGTAGTAGAATGGAAAAAAGTGTTTGCCTAGCCTAGGTTAGAGTTAGCCTAAAATAGGGTAAGTGTTAGCCTAGGGATAGGATTAGCCTAGCGTTAGGGTTAGCCTAGGGTTAGGGTTAGCCTAGGGTTAGGGTTAGCTTAGCGTTAGGGTTAGCCTAGGGTTAGGATTAGCCTAGCGTTAGGGTTAGCCTAGGGTTAGGGTTAGCCTACGTTTAGGGTTAGCCTAGGGTTAGGATTAGCCTAGGGTTAGGGTTAGCCTAGACTTAGGATTAGCCTAGCGTTAGGGTTATCCTAGGGTTAGGTTTAGCCTTGCCTAATCCAACCCAAGTTGATAACACATGACCTAACGTCCATGTGACCTTTGACCTCTTTTTTCAGCTGCCCTGTGTTCCAGAATTTGGACCAGTACATTTGCACCTTCCCCACCCCTGCCCCAGGCAAGTGCTGTGCCCTACCACAGTGCTGCGCCGACGCTGACTGCCACATCAAAGTCCAGTTTCAAATAGATGACCAGTACAAAGATGAATTTTAAATCTGGACATTCTTACTGCACGTTTTATAAATCCTCTTCCTAACACTCGACAATAAAGTTCTCAAATAATTACTAAATCTCGTGCTTGTTTGTTTACGATATTCAAAGTTGTTTACGATGTGTAGTCTATATTGTTCAAAGTTGTTTACGATGTGTAGTCTATATTGTTCAAAGTTGTTTACGATGTGTAGTCTATATTGTTCAAAGTTGTTTACGATGTGTAGTCTATATTGTTCAAAGTTGTTTACGATGTGTAGTCTATATTGTTCAAAGTTGTTTACGATGTGTAGTCTATATTGTTCAAAGTTGTTTACGATGTGTAGTCTATATTGTTCAAAGTTGTTTACGATGTGTAGTCTATATTGTTCAAAGTTGTTTACGATGTGTAGTCTATATTGTTCAAAGTTGTTTACGATGTGTAGTCTATATTGTTCAAAGTTGTTTACGATGTGTAGTCTATATTGTTCAAAGTTGTTTACGATGTGTAGTCTATATTGTTCAAATTTGTTTACGATGTGTAGTCTATATTGTTCAAAGTTGTTTACGATGTGTAGTCTATATTGTTCAAAGTTGTTTACGATGTGTAGTCTATATTGTTCAAAGTTGTTTACGATGTGTAGTCTATATTGTTCAAAGTTGTTTACGATGTGTAGTCTATATTGTTCAAAGTTGTTTACGATGTGTAGTCTATATTGTTCAAAGTTGTTTACGATGTGTAGTCTATATTGTTCAAAGTTGTTTACGATGTGTAGTCTATATTGTTCAAAGTTGTTTACGATGTGTAGTCTATATTGTTCAAAGCTTTAGTCGCTTAGAGGCTTAGCGACCCTTCCCAGCGAACTTTCAGTATATATATATATATATATATATATATATATATATATATATATATATATATATGTATATATATATATATATATATATATATATATACAGCACTTACAAATATATATATATATATATATATATATATATATATATATACATATATATATATATATATATATATATATATATATATATATATATATATATATATATATATATATATATATATATATATATACAGCACTTACAAATATATATATATATATATATATATATATATATATATATATATATATATATATATATATATACATATATATATATATATATATATATGTATGTATAAATAAGTCCTGAAGGAAATATTTCAAATAGAGAAGTGGGAGGCTGGATTGTTAGGGTACGATCTTCATAAAAATCAAGTGAGTTGACGAAGTGTTGCCTATGCTCCTTGGGAAGCCAAAACAAATAAATAGAAAATCAAAAGAAGAGGGGGTTTCATCGTCCCCAAGAGGTTCCTTAAGTTAGTCTCAACGTAGGTCAAAACACATACCCGATTCAAGATCGGATTTTGTCGAAGATCTAGTTTTGGTTGTGTCTTTAGTACAATTTCCATAATAGTATATAACAATTTTAAATCATCAGTTAGGAATGAACAAAGTGTTATGAAAAAACAATTTAAAATGATCTATTCAGTGCAATATACTAATTTTCTTTTCTCTCAAAATTTTGGCAAAGAGTGTCGCCTTCCAACCACCCGTGGGTTTTTTTTTCAAAGTGTTGAAAGAGTTATCTTCTCACCGATCCAGTACAAATGTTGAAAGAGTTATCTTCTCACCGATCCAGTACAAATGTTGAAAGAGTTATCTTCTCACCGATCCAGTACAAATGTTGAAAGAGTTATCTACTCACCGATCCAGTACAAATGTTGAAAGAGTTATCTACTCACCGATCCAGTACAAATGTTGAAAGAGTTATCTACTCACCGATCCAGTACAAATCCTACGATTTTTGTAGGTAAAAAAGCGCCCCACCCTCCCCATCATCTTGGACTAAGTTGATAGAGCGTGTTTTAAACGTAACTAACTCTTTTTTTCCCCACGTTTTCTTTAACTTGCTTTCGCGTCTGTTTGTTTGTTTGTTTGGTTCTCCAATCAAATCTTGCGATCCAAATTTCGGGCACTTCCCAGTTAGCTAGCGCGCTGAAATTTTCAGGGAAGCTTTGTTTCCGATGACAATAGAATATTCAATTGTTATTATTACTAAATTGATCCATGGAAAAATTGTATTGATCATTTTAGGCCCCTATATATTTGTACAAAATTATCATTTAAAAAGTTTTAAAAAACCCACGTTTTCTGATTGAACTAAAAAGTAGAAAATAAATGCTATACATCACAATAATGCAAGCGATCACTCTACTATAAACGATGAAAAACGTGGGGCGCCGAAGTAAAAGGTACATTACTATTGATTAGATAATACTATTGTGTTTTATTAGGGAGCTTGTAGAGAGTCAACAGTATAAGAAACTGTAAGAAAATCACGGCGCCCCACGTGTTTCATCGCTTATAGTAGAGTGATCGCTTGCATTATTGTGATGTATAGCATTTATTTTCTACTCCTCCCTCCCCGCCCTCCCCCCCCCAACTACGCCTTCTGAGAGAGCCACCTAATACAAACGCTTGGTGTGTATCAGTGGCGTAGCTAGGATTTTCGGACCCCATTGCAAAAAATTATCAATGGACCCCTTCGTCAGCCGTTAGGCTACAACTAAGTTAAACATATGCAGCGGAGAAATTGATTGCTACCAGTGTTTCTTCCAGACTTTTTTCTCCGGGGGGGGGGGGGGGGGGGGGGAAGGGCGTTTGAAATTTTCGGGGGGGGGTGGCGGACACTGTTAAAAGTATATATTTTAAGTATATATTTTCTATTTAAATTCCAACTCGTTCGGAAAGGAAGGGGGGGGGCGATAAACTCTCTTTGGGTGGGTGCTGCGCCTGCTTCCTTCCCCCCCCCCCCCCCACCTCTCCCGGAGTGATGCCTGAAAGAAACAGTGATACTTACTAGGGAGGAGTTTTAAATAATGTAAATGTGTATTTTATACGTCCTGATTGTGTATTTATACTGTACTGTATTATTATGTACTGCACCCTAATGTAAAATATATTGGGTCACAAGGCAAAGGTTACTGAACCAATTACAATTTGTTTCAAAACATTATCACAATATGCCAATAATCAGATTTTAAAATCCTATCCTAGACAACAAAATCTTCTTCCCTATCACCATGGAATGTTAAAGAATTTTTATACGGAACTGGCGTACCCGTCCGCATTTCTGCGACCTAGTCGTACATATTAGGGAGACAGAAGGGAGATGCAGGTTTCTGGATTGGAGAGTGGAGGGTTAGGGAGTTTCCCACTCAGTTGAGGTTTTTAGCGATACATGTACGGGTGCCGGATGTCGTATCTCACAAAACAGTTAAAGTTCAAATTTATTTATAGGTTGATTCTCTGAATGGCTTGCCAAAACTGCGGCAGCGCCTGTGGTCTTATCAATACGGGGTGGTCCCTTATCGATAACACCCCTCACCCCCTGCCTACGCCACTACACCCCTCACCCCACACTCAGCGACTGTGATGTTATTAATATAGGGTGGACGGACAGTGGACCCTGTTTGACGCCACACCTCCCCCACACTGAATGCCACTGCCTGTACACTAAGAAAGGACTTGGGGCCTTTTTGAAATTTTAAACAATTACTAGAGTAGAAAAAAAAACTTGATTTCCATTTTCTTTTTAAAATTGTTTATAGGCCTATAAAATAAATCTTAAAATTCCAATGTAAAAGTTTAATTTTTTTAAAGAAGGAAAAGGGCCCTTAAGTGTCTTGGGCCCCTATGCCTTGCTTACTCTAGCTTTACGGTAGCTACGCCACTGATATCAGACTTGAATTGCGAAACATACAGGAGAATAAAATTCAATAGCAGCTTTTATTACTTGAAGAGTTTAAATACAGGATAAATGTGCTACAACCGTGATATTACAGCTACAGTACTTTTTAAAATCGTTCTTCATTATATATATAACTTATCTTTTAAAAATCTTAACTATACGAAAATTTGATTCAGATAACAAAATTTGAAAACATCTCTTCATACCTTTTAATAATAGATATGTCACTTTATATTATTTTAGTATGTGTGATCAGCCCACTATAGGCTACATTTGAAGATCTGACAAAGTAAGCCTAGCCTGATGTAAAATACTTACTGGTCATATTTTATAGGCCAAGCAAGATCAATTAGAAACACATTTATTATTACAGAGAGCTCACGTTAAATAAACATTGTTTGACATGAAGCGAGGACAGCTCCAATTTGCACTGTAGAGCGTGGGCGTTGATGTCCGACTAAGGGACAAACGTATATTTTCATGGGAGAACAAAAAATCTCATACTTTCATATTTGTAAATTTAGAGGAAAATGCTTATAGTTGTGAAATTCACCGTTCATTTAGATCAGTGGTTCCCAAACTTTTTCAAGTGGCGACCCCCTTTTATAAAAATTAAGCGACCCGCGACCACCATAGAAAAGTCGAAATTAGTAAGGAAATTAATCAGTACTAAAATTAGATTTCCTAGTAGACTTTCAATACGAATCCAGAAACAACGATCGCTCTGTTTTGATGTCTCCAAGGCAGAGGTGTCGCGAGGAGGGGACGGGGGGTTGGGGCCGCACCAAGACAAAAAAATGAATAAATTAAAAAAAAATGCTTTCTGCCAGCTCCATGAGTGGTTAATTAGAGGTAAAAGTATTTTAAGTACAAACTGACGATACCGACAAGGGAGGGGTAGAGGGGTGTGTGACACAAATATCCTTAGTAATAACTGTGAACACTTTAAAGTTATTTCCAAGGAGGGGAGAGTGGGGATGATACTAACTTCCAAATTTATAGGTGGTATACAAAATTTCACCACTTGGAAAAAAAATGGTGCCACAAATTGCAACTATTATATATATATATATATATATATATATATATATATATATATATATATATATATATATATATATATATATATATATATATATATATATATATTAGCCGTCCCGGGCAGCATTGTTTCTTCCAGACATCCAGACTTTTTTCTACCGGGGGGAAGAGGTGTACTTGAAATTTTCGGGGGGGGGGGGGGGGGCGGAAACTGTATAAAAATTATAAATGTTCTATATAAATTCCATTTCATCATTGGGGGAGGGGGCGGTAGACATTCTTGGGGGAGAGGGGGCATGTTCACATGTCTGGTATCTGCATTTAGAATTTTTATTGTATGCAGGTACTGCAAGCTTTACAGGGGGTGAATGTAAGGGGCTGGGGAGTTATTTAATCATTATTTTATTACAAAAAGGTGAATGTCACTTTTTGTGTTCCTTTAGAGGATTGTTGTGGTTTCTAGTTAAGTAGTCCGCTATTCTGGCGCTGATATAATTAGGATTTTAACATGACTTATAATTGCTTTGTTTTGTTTATATTTTGATCTTATTTATGCAAACTTTGTTTTGGAGTGTGGCTCCACTTTGCTTTATGTCGTTATTAGTTATTGTTGTATTAGGGACTATTTTCTCGTGCGTAGTATTGGTTTTTAGTTCGTGAATGTGGTGTGTGGACAGGGAGGGACATTATGTGGGAATGTCGAGTCCTGTGTGTTGAACTATTTTTGTGGTGTATGGACGTTTGTCCGAAATTGGGGTGTTTTGTTCCGTTGACTTCTGTTTTGTTTTGTTGAGTTTTGTATGTCTTGAGTTTTTTGTTTTGTCTAGTTTTTTTCTATATAATTTTTGGGCTCCATACTTTTGTTAAATAAATTTTATTAAACTGATAAACGTTTTTTGTTTTATTTTTAGCGTAGACTAAGGTTAGGGTTAACCACTGTGGGTTTTACCACAGTTCTACGGACCCGGACAGTTATAGAGATAAGCCTAGGGTAGATAGTATAGTCACCCCCCCCCTAGCAGGGCTTATAATATATATATATATATATATATATATATATATATATATATATATATATATATATATATATATATATATATATATATATATATATATATATATATATATATATATAATAATATGTTTATTTTCTTTGATTGTAGGAGGGGGGGGGTGACACCATGAGGGGCCGCATCCTGTTGACACCCGACCTAGTAACGCCACTGCTCTCAGGGTCAGGTCGTACACGTACCACCCCTCAGTGGGCGACCGTCACTAAATATCCACAACGAGGCCGTGTTACATACCAAAAAAAAATTTCGACTCAGGGAGGTGGATTCGATTTTTTTTAACAATTACTTTTTTTATACTTCGTATAAGAGAAAGTAAAAAGATTGACCAGAAACAAAGTGCTGTGACGGAAATGTTTATACAACGTGTGTAGGCACGGAGAGATTGTGTGTGAGAGTGGCCTCACCTTAGAAGTTGTGTGCGAGCGTGGAAAAGAAGAGAGTGAACGGTAGTGTGTAAGCAGTGTGATGTAGCGTCAACTTAGCGGAGCATGTCGTCAGTTTTTTCTTCGTGTCAGTGTTCACTGTGTCTCTTGTAGTTGTTGGAAATTAGACTTCAATGTTGCAATTTTACTTTGTGGATTCTGTTTTTATTTGTGTTACACCTGGTCCCAAACGAGCCAAAAAGTAATTGGAGTGTAACAGTGCAATAAATTTCTTTTTGCGATCACCCTATTTAGTACTGATCTGACAACTACCGTCTTTTCCAGTTTCAGACTTGACTATAGTTGCTAGGCAACATCCTCAGGTTTTTAAACACACGACTAAAAGTTGAGCAGTCAGTTTAGTCTTGAACTGTGCTGAACTCATCTTTGAAAAGTCACTGGACGGATGACATAAAAAACTGGACAGTTGTAAAACAATAATCTTTTTAAAAAATCAAATAACAAAACAACTGACAACTGTTCTGTGTTGTTCAATGACTAAGTGTTTTTCTACGTACTTTGTCTATGTCCGTGTCGTTTAAGTATATATGCCAGTGTGTCTATGTATTGCATGTTGATGCTATTATTAGTCTAAATGTTCTAAAGTGACAATGTCATGTCTTTACCAAACCTTGTTTCCTGTATCTAACCGAGTGCTCGCCTTATCTTGCATGTAAAAACACTGGACACAGAGCAGCTGTCAGTTCACCTGCATGGGAAAATCAAGTTCATTTTAGTTTGACAGAGAAAAACTTATCACGATAATCACGACGTGAACATTTGAACGTGTAATGTCAAGCTGCTTTATTTGACGGTCGATTAACGGAAAACTTGACAGGACACTTGCCAAAGGTTCTACTACTTCATATTTTCATTTAGAGAGTTTTTCCAATGAATTTTTCTGAATTTTTGTTCCCGTAACTGACCTATTCTATCTGTTACGGGCTCTACCAGAAAAGTCTCTTACATTCTTACAAGCTTTTATTTCATTTAATTTTTCTTTGTCCGGATTGAAACCTTTGGACACAATTTCGCCCACTGCCATCAAATCGTTTTCTTTCTAACTTGATAAGAAAAATAAATTCATTAATTTTTTTTTAATAACATGCTTTTATGTAATAATGCACTAAAAAGTAGAAAATAAAGTATACACTACTATTTAAATTACTATAAAGAAAAGCGTGGGTCTCTTCCTAAATATTAGTAAAGGTATCCAATAGATACTAAAGTGACCCATATATATATATTTCGAACATCAAAACAATCTTTAGAAAACGTAATTTTTTTCTAATATGATGTCATTTTGTTTTGTAAGTCATCTATCAAGGGAAGTTATTGAAACAAAATGTTGTAATTTGTATACTATTTCAGACAAAATTAGGTTGATTTTGTTTCTTTGCACATTACGTAAATTAAAATAAGTTCTAAAATGAAGTCAGATGACTTGATATATTGATTAAATGTTCAACACACATCCCATGACTTGATATATTGACTTAATATATTCCACACCAGTGACTGCATCCCCCACTCCAGTGAGGACATTGTTTAAGCGGTTTGTCACAAAAAGTTTCAATTTTTTTTTAAACAGAACTGGATGTATTGATGAGGCGAGAGTGTCCAGTCACATTCTAGACTTGCATGATGAGAGTTACCGTTCTTGTATGGATAGGGTTGTGTATTGTGGCGTGTGGGCTTGCACACATCCGTAAGTTGCTGGTTTAACTGTCTTTCTACATTTTCTGCGGACATCTATAAGTTGCTGGTTTAACTGTCTTTCTACATTTTCTGCGGACATCTATAAGTTGCTGGTTTAACTGTCTTTCTACATTTTCTGCGGACATCTATAAGCTGCTGGTTTAACTGTCTTTCTACATTTTCTGCGGACATCTATAAGTTGCTGGTTTAACTGTCTTTCTACATTTTCTGCGGACATCTATAAGCTGCTGGTTTAACTGTCTTTCTACATTTTATGCGGACATCTATAAGTTGCTGGTTTAACTGTCTTTCTACATTTTCTGCGGACATCCATAAGTTGCTGCGTTAACTGTCTTTCTACATTTTCTGCGGACATCTATAAGTTGTGGGTTGATGCTGTTGAACATGGAAGTTCGTCCCTTATTAAGATGCTCCATATGAGAAAGGTCGATGGGGTGACCCCGTACACATTGACGTTGTGTTTGTTAACCCTACCATTAACTTGTCTATCAGATAGCAGGAATGGCGTTGTGTTTGTTAACCCTACCATTAACTTCTCAATCAGATAGCAGGGATGGCGTTGTGTTTGTTAACCCTAACATTAACTTGTCTATCAGATAGCAGGGATGGCGTTGTGTTTGTTAACCCTACCATCAACTTGTCTATCAGATAGCAGGGATGGCGTTGTGTTTGTTAACCCTAACATTAACTTGTCTATCAGATAGCAGGGATGGCGTTGTGTTTGTTAACCCTACCATTAACTTGTCTATCAGATAGCAGCGATGGCGTTGTGTTTGTTAACCCTAACATTAACTTGTCTATCAGATGGCGGGGCGGACGTTGTGTTTGTTGTGGACGGCAGTGACCGAGTGGGTGCAGCAAACTTCGAGAAAGTTCGAGGCTGGATCAAATCTGTCATTCAAAACTGGGCCATCGGACTGGATATGTTTCGTGTTGCTGTCATCTCGTATGGTGATGGCGTCCATGTCGAGTCCTACCTCAAGGACTCAGTGGACAGTCAAGCCGTAAGTCACATTTTACAGTCAAATACAGACACATCTACATTTACATTTTAAGGTCAAATACCTTTAGTTAACTATTTCATGAGTCAATATAGGACAGTCATCTTTGTAGTGTCATATTGATCAGTTGCTGTCATTGTGTTTCTAACTTTGAACTTTGATTTATTTCTGTCAGGTGTTAAAATCTATTAATAGCATCAGATATTTTGGGTCGCCAGCGGACGCAACAGAGGCGATCAGACGAGCTTCAAGTGAAGCCTTTTTGCCTTCCAATGGGGGCAGAGCTGGTGAACGTCAGGTAGCGCATCATTTCTTCTCATTGTCAATGTCATATCGCAACATGAATTTTATATTCGTTCAGTTCTCTAATTACCAATGTTAGAACTAATTTAAGAAACTAAGAAACTAAAAACGGCAAAAAAATATTTTTTCCATTATATCATGGCACAGAACTCCGTCCAGTCCACACCACAACACTCCGTCCAGTCCACACCACAACACTCCGTCCACACCACAACACTCCGTCCAGTCCACACCACAACACTCCGTCCACACCACAACACTCCGTCCACACCACAACACTCCGTCCACACCACAACACTCCGTCCAGTCCACACCACAACACTCCGTCCACACCACAACACTCCGTCCAGTCCACACCACAACACTCCGTCCAGTCCACACCACAACACTCCGTCCACACCACAACACTCCGTCCAGTCCACACCACAACACTCCGTCCACACCACAACACTCCGTCCAGTCCACACCACAACATTCCGTCCACACCACAACACTCCGTCCACACCACAACACTCCGTCCACACCACAACACTCCGTCCAGTCAACACCACAACACTCCGTCCACATCACAACACTCCGTCCAGTCCAGTCCACACCACAACACTCCGTCCACACCACAACACTCCGTCCACACCACAACACTCCGTCCACACCACAACACTCCGTCCACACCACAACACTCCGTCCAGTCCACACCACAACACTCCGTCCACACCACAACACTCCGTCCACACCACAACACTCCGTCCACACCACAACACTACGTCCACACCACAACACTCCGTCCACACCACAACACTCCGTCCACACCACAACACTCCGTCCAGTCCACACCACAACACTCCGTCCACACCACAACACTCCGTCCACACCACAACACTCCGTCCACACCACAACACTCCGTCCACACCACAACACTCCGTCCAGTCCACAACACTCCGTCCAGTCCACACCACAACACTCCGTCCACACCACAACACTCCGTCCACACCACAACACTCCGTCCAGTCCAGTCCACACCACAACACTCCGTCCAGTCCACACCACAACACTCCGTCCACATCACAACACTCCGTCCACACCACAACACTCCGTCCAGTCCAGTCCACACCACAACACTCCGTCCAGTCCACACCACAACACTCCGTCCACACCACAACACTCCGTCCAGTCCAGTCCAGTCCACACCACAACACTCCGTCCACACCACAACACTCCGTCCACACCACAACACTCCGTCCACACCACAACACTCCGTCCACACCACAACACTCCGTCCAGTCCACACCACAACACTCCGTCCACACCACAACACTCCGTCCAGTCCAGTCCATACCACAACACTCCGTCCACACCACAAAACTCCGTCCAGTCCAGTCCACACCACAACACTACGTCCACACCACAACACTCCGTCCACACCACAACACTCCGTCCACACCACAACACTCCGTCCACAACACAACACTCCGTCCAGTCCACACCACAACACTCCGTCCAGTCCAGTCCACACCACAACACTCCGTCCACACCACAACACTCCGTCCACACCACAACACTCCGTCCACACCACAACACTCCGTCCAGTCCACACCACAACACTCCGTCCACACCACAACACTCCGTCCACACCACAACACTCCGTCCACACCACAACACTCCGTCCAGTCCACACCACAACACTCCGTCCAGTCCACACCACAACACTCCGTCCACACCACAACACTCCGTCCAGTCCACACCACAACACTCCGTCCACACCACAACACTCCGTCCAGTCCAGTCCACACCACAACACTCCGTCCACACCACAACACTCCGTCCACACCACAACACTCCGTCCAGTCCACACCACAACACAACACTCCGTCCACACCACAACACTCCGTCCACACCACAACACTCCGTCTAGTCTACACCACAACACTCCGTCCACACCACAACACTCCGTCCAGTCCAGTCCACACCACAACACTCCGTCCACACCACAACACTCCGTCCAGTCCAGTCCACACCACAACACTCCGTCCACACCACAACACTCCGTCCACACCACAACACTCCGTCCACACTACAACACTCCGTCCAGTCCACACCACAACACTCCGTCCACACCACAACACTCCGTCCACACCACAACACTCCGTCCACACCACAACACTCCGTCCACACCACAACACTCCGTCCACACCACAACACTCCGTCCAGTCCAGTCCACACCACAACACTCCGTCCACACCACAACACTCCGTCCACACCACAACACTCCGTCCACACTACAACACTCCGTCCAGTCCACACCACAACACTCCGTCCACACCACAACACTCCGTCCACACCACAACACTCCGTCCACACCACAACACTCCGTCCACACCACAACACTCCGTCCACACCACAACACTCCGTCTAGTCTACACCACAACACTCCGTCCACACCACAACACTCCGTCCAGTCCAGCCCACACCACAACACTCCGTCCACACCACAACACTCCGTCCAGTCCACACCACAACACTCCGTCCACACCACAACACTCCGTCCAGTCCACACCACAACACTCCGTCCAGTCCACACCACAACACTCCGTCCACACCACAACACTCCGTCCAGTCCAGTCCACACCACAACACTCCGTCCACACCACAACACTCCGTCCACACCACAACACTCCGTCCAGTCCACACCACAACACTACGTCCACACCACAACACTCTGTCCACACCACAACACTCCGTCCAGTCCAGTCCACACCACAACACTCCGTCCACACCACAACACTCCGTCCAGTCCACAACACTCCGTCCAGTCCACACCACAACACTCCGTCCACACCACAACACTCCGTTCAGTCCACACCACAACACTCCGTCCAGTCCACACCACAACACTCCGTCCACTCCACAACACTCCGTCCAGTCCACACCACAACACTTCGTCCAGTCCACACCACAACACTCCGTCCACAGCACAACACTCCGTCCAGTCCACACCACAACACTCCGTCCACACCACAACACTCCGTCCAGTCCGCAACACTCCGTCCAGTCCACACCACAACACTCCGTCCAGTCCACACCACAACACTCCGTCCACACCACAACACTCCGTCCAGTCCGCAACACTCCGTCCAGTCCACACCACAACACTCCGTCCAGTCCACACCACAACACTCCGTCCACACCACAACACTCCGTCCAGTCCGCAACACTCCGTCCAGTCCACACCACAACACTCCGTCCAGTCCGCACCACAACACTCCGTCCAGTCCACACCACAACACTCCGTCCACACCACAACACTCCGTCCAGTCCGCAACACTCCGTCCAGTCCACACCACAACACTCCGTCCAGTCTACACGACAACACTCCGTCCACACCTCAACACTCCGTCCAGTCCAGTCCACACCACAACACTACGTCCAGTCCAGTCCACACCACAACACTCCGCCCACACCACAACACTCTGTCCAGTCCAGAACACTCCGTCCAGTCCACACCACAACACTCCGCCCACACCACAACACTCCGTCCAGTCCACAACACTCCGTCCACACCACAACACTCCGTTAACACCACAACACTCCGTCCAGTCCACACCACAACACTCCGCCCACACCACAACACTCCGTCCAGTCCACAACACTCCGTCCACACCACAACACTCCGTCCACACCACAACACTCCGTCCAGTCCACACCACAACACTCCGTCCACACCACAACACTCCGTCCAGTCCGCAACACTCCGTCCAGTCCACACCACAACACTACGTCCAGTCCAGTCCACACCACAACACTCCGCCCACACCACAACACTCCGTCCACAGCACAACACTCCGTCCAGTCCACACCACAACACTCCGTCCACACCACAACACTCCGTCCAGTCCGCAACACTCCGTCCAGTCCACACCACAACACTCCGTCCAGTCCACACCACAACACTCCGTCCACACCACAACACTCCGTCCAGTCCGCAACACTCCGTCCAGTCCACACCACAACACTACGTCCAGTCCAGTCCACACCACAACACTCCGCCCACACCACAACACTCCGTCCAGTCCACAACACTCCGTCCAGTCCACACCACAACACTCCGCCCACACCACAACACTCCGTCCAGTCCACAACACTCCGTCCAGTCCAGTCCACACCACAACACTCCGTCCACACCACAACACTCCGTCCAGTCCACACCACAACACTACGTCCACACCACAACACTCTGTCCACACCACAACACTCCGTCCAGTCCAGTCCACACCACAACACTCCGTCCACACCACAACACTCCGTCCAGTCCACAACACTCCGTCCAGTCCAGTCCACACCACAACACTACGTCCACACCACAACACTCTGTCCACACCACAACACTCCGTCCAGTCCACAACACTCCGTCCAGTCCAGTCCACAACACTCCGTCCAGTCCACACCACAACACTCCGTCCACACCACAACACTCCGTCCACACCACAACACTCCGTCCACACCACAACACTCCGTCCAGTCCACACCACAACACTCCGTCCAGTCCACACCACAACACTCCGTCCACACCACAACACTCCGTCCAGTCCACACCACAACACTCCGTCCAGTCCACACCACAACACTCCGTCCAGTCCAAACCACAACACTCCGCCCACACCACAACACTCCGTCCACAGCACAACACTCCGTCCAGTCCACACCACAACACTCCGTCCACACCACAACACTCCGTCCAGTCCGCAACACTCCGTCCAGTCCACACCACAACACTCCGTCCAGTCCACACCACAACACTCCGTCCACACCACAACACTCCGTCCAGTCCGCAACACTCCGTCCAGTCCACACCACAACACTACGTCCAGTCCAGTCCACACCACAACACTCCGCCCACACCACAACACTCCGTCCAGTCCACAACACTCCGTCCAGTCCACACCACAACACTCCGCCCACACCACAACACTCCGTCCAGTCCACAACACTCCGTCCAGTCCAGTCCACACCACAACACTCCGTCCACACCACAACACTCCGTCCAGTCCACACCACAACACTACGTCCACACCACAACACTCTGTCCACACCACAACACTCCGTCCAGTCCAGTCCACACCACAACACTCCGTCCACACCACAACACTCCGTCCAGTCCACAACACTCCGTCCAGTCCAGTCCACACCACAACACTACGTCCACACCACAACACTCTGTCCACACCACAACACTCCGTCCAGTCCACAACACTCCGTCCAGTCCAGTCCACAACACTCCGTCCAGTCCACACCACAACACTCCGTCCACACCACAACACTCCGTCCACACCACAACACTCCGTCCACACCACAACACTCCGTCCAGTCCACACCACAACACTCCGTCCAGTCCACACCACAACACTCCGTCCACACCACAACACTCCGTCCAGTCCACACCACAACACTCCGTCCAGTCCACACCACAACACTCCGTCCAGTCCAAACCACAACACTCCGTCCACACCACAACACTCCGTCCAATCCACAGCACAACACTGCGTCCACACCACAACACTCCGTCCAGTCCAGTCCACACCACAACACTCCGTCCAGTCCACACCACAACACTCCGTCCAGTCCACACCTTCATACACCCAGTCTTTGCCCATTTACTATGAGAACGTGAAAGGGGCGCGGGGAGGGACTGGAACGGGGGGGGGATGGGGGGGGGATGGAAGTGTCGACAGGCAGAATGAATTCCGCTTTAGTGGACAGTAGTAGACAGGGGGGGGGAGGGGTTATGCTTCATTAATCATTTAATACTGGACAGAGGGGCGGGGTCATGGTATCTCAAGGACTGAAAGAGTAAATTTAAAAAACATAAACTCATTTTTGATAAATTGTATAAATTAGGCCATATGACCAGATGAAATAGCAATGTAGTCGTGTAAGTATTATTTTCATCCCAAATGTGGACATAGATACGTAGTATAGTCCCAGACAGTCAGAGTGGTCTACGTTTACACAGCGTGTTTGGAATCCTGGAATGTATTTTGGTCTCAAAGTTTTTAATAGTTTCTATAATATAACGCTGGTGGTAGTTTGTCAGTCCTTCCTTCCGTCTGTCATCGCTATCGATTTTGGAATGTCAACATCTAACCACGCAGTGCTTTTCAATTGCACCGCATTGTGTTTGTATAAGTGATAGAGTAGGGTTTGTTTATATAACGACTTAATTTTTTTTGTATAAATGTCACAGTTTTCACTCTTTCGCATAACGCGAAAAAATATTAAATACACGCACATTGCAAAAACATATTAAACGGATCAATGTCAAATAATATTTTCGCTTAGATTCCTAGAAAAAGTAGATACATTTTAATAACAGTAGGGTAAAAAAAAAACTAATTAATTCAAAGATTTAATAGTTATGCAAGGGGGAGGTAATTTAAAAATAAATTCAACTCACTCTAATAAAACAAAGTGAATGTTAATTCTGCAGACGTCCAAGACAATATTATTGTTGAAATATTATAATTAGTATGCATTGATAAAAGGCAATGTGATAGGTAAAACACGGATATTTTAAATACTGCCTTTTATTTATATTATTCACATGAACGTACTGTTTACTAATTATTATTTTTAATCAATCACAGTTTAAAAGCTACTCCTAAAATGTTTTCTATGTTTACTTCTATCTTTCTTTTTGCGGACAAACTTGTTTTTTTATAGTGGTTCGCTAAATTGAATCAGGCGCGTCCGCCGGCTTCTGAGCAGTGTACGATTTGGCACCCAGGGCTAGACTCTGAGCACTATGCGTTTATGTTTGCATTTGAGTTGTGTTTTTGTTATGCGTGTTGCGTTTGCGTTTGTGTTTTCGTTTTCGTTTCGTTTTTAACACGTTTTTATTAACTCAGCTTCGCGTGGATGTGTTTGTTGTTAAAATTGACATCGAAAATTAGCCCACTTCTGATTGCTCTATAGATCTGAAATTTGGCATGCAGGTTACTTTCGCCTAACAATTTCAGATGCAATCATAAAAACTAGCAATTAGAGACCGTAATTAGCTTAATTTAATTACGCCCAAAGGACCATAAAATTGAGGACATGATTTCTAAAGATACCGACAAGACTGGAGGCTTGTTGACACAGTTACTTCGGCCCCAATCGATGTGAGCGCGCTGGCCGTGATCGTATAGTGGTTAGTACTTCGCGTTGTGGCCGCGACAACCCAGGTTCGAATCCTGGTCGCTCAAGATTTTTTTAGTCCGTGTATTTATAAACACTTAGTCAATTCATACTTAATCAAGTCATTAGATAAAGTAGAAAATAAACTATATAAAAAACTTTTTTAAAAAACACGTTTTTCATGTGTAGCAACGGACTAAAAAGGAGAAAATAAAATACTTAAAAAAAACTTTTTTAAAAAACACGTTTTTCTTGTGGACTAAAAAGTAGAAAATAACTATTTACATACATTTGATGACAAAAAACGTGGGTCGGGCAGATGGGTCGAGAAATTTGATGGTGAACGTACCCACGTTTTTTGTCATCAAATGTATGTAAATAGTTATTTTCTACTTTTTAGTCCACAAGAAAAACGTGTTTTTTTTAAAAGTTTTTTTTAAGTATTTTATTTGTTTTGTTTTTCATTTGTGTTTGCGTTTGCATTGTGTTTGTGCTTGCGTTTTCTTTTGTGTTTGTTTTTTCTTTTGTGTTTGTGTTTAGTTTTGTTATGTTCCGAAGTTGGTAGATTTAAAAAAGATTCACTGTGGCGGAGCACGGGTATGCAGCTAGTCTATAGTTAACGCATTCACCCGAAACCTATGTGATTAAATGTGGTAGTATTCTTAAAGTAGTGGTATACGCTTCTATTCTTAAGTTTATCAGTCATGTAGTATTCTGATTGTAGTCGTGTAAGCTCCTATTCTTCAGGTCATCATTCATGTCGGCGCTGGAGCGGGTTCGGATCCCGTCAGGTACGCAGATCAGGTCAAGATTGCAACAGAGAAAGGTATTGTTGTTTACAATGTCGCCATTGGCAACGGATGGATCCAGAATGATTTGTTTAAGTATGCCAGCCAACCACGTGAGCGGTACAGCTTGCCCGTGGCAAACTACGACCTGCTCAATGCAGAACTGACCTACATCTTGGCCTCACGGGTGGAGAATGGTGAGTACGGCGCGAGCAACCGCTAAAAACAAGAGCAGCATTTATTGCGTCACCCACAGATGGTCGAGGTGAGACAAATACAAACATTAATACAAGATAAAGTTCTCATTTCGTGCCGTAATACTTTGGGCCGGTACCTCAAATACAAACATTAATCTATCTATCTATATATATAAAAAGCAATGTATGTCTGTGTGTCTGTGTGTTTGTGTGTGTGTTTGTCCTTTATGCATTACTACACCTCTCATCACATCGCCGTGAAGCTTTGGGAAGTTGTTGAGAATATTCCTGGGGAGGTTTCTGCGAAAAAAAAAATTTCAAATTCGCAGGGGTGGCGCCCTTCAGGGCGCGATTTGTTTTTCTCTATATACGGTATATAAAAATAAAAAGTTGATTTTGGTTTGACATCGTTCATCTGCTAGCCATAAGACTTTGGGGAGTTCATAATAACACTCTAAGGAAGGGTTCTGTAAAAAATTATTTTTAATTTTGCAAGGGCGGCGCCACGGGAGGGTGCTATTTTCCTCTATATATGGTATATAAAAAATAAAAGTGAATTGAAGTGACACCGTTCATCCGATAGGCATGAAACTTTGGGAAGTTGTTGAGAATATTCCTGGGGAGGTTTCTGCGAAAAAAAATTTCAAATTCGCCGGGCTGGCGCCCCAGCAGGGCGCGTTTTTTTTAATATATACGGTATATAAAAATAAAAGTCGATTTTGGTTTGGCATCGTTCATCCGATAGCCATGAGACTTTGGGGATTTTATTATGCCACTATAGGGAATGGTTCTGTAAAAAATCATTTTTAATTTCGCAAGGGCGGCGCCACGGGAGGGTGAGATTTTTCTCTTTATACGGTTTATAAAAATAAGTCGATTTTGGTGTGACACCGTTATTCGATAGCCATGAGACTTTGAGGGAGTTGATTAGAACAGGGTGTAAAAAAAATCATTTTTTAATTTCGCAAGGGCGGCGCCACGGGGGCTGCGACTTTTCTCTATATACGGTTTATAAAATTTCGGTTTCACACCGTTTATCCGTGTACCATGAAACTTTGGGTAGATGATTAAATCACTCAATGGTAGTGTTCTGCAAAAAAATATTGTTTAATATTGCAAGGGCGGCGCCCCCCCCCCCCCCCCCCCCGGGGGAGCGATTTTTTTTTATCTATACACGGTATATAAAAAATAAAACTCGGATGCGGTTCATCCGAGTGCCATGAAACTTTAGGGAGTAGATGAGAATACTCCCGAGAATAATTCTGCGAAAAAGAAAACTAAAGTTTCTTACGGGCTGCGCCATATAGGGTACAACTTTCGTCAATACACGGTTTGACACCCAGAGTTTTAGAGCGACTAAGTTGGCACTTGGCATCCGTTAATCGAGCGTTCTGCATAGCGAGTAAGGGGTACTACTATATTCAGCGGTAAAACTACAACAGCCTTCTAAAAATAACTTTGTAAACGAGGAAATCCTTCTGTACAGTTTCGTCACCTTGCGAAAGATGAAAAAATAACTTTTTGAATATGAGGAGCCTACTGTAGAGTTTCGTCACTTTGCGAATGATGCAATAAGCATCTATTATTAGACAATCCAGTCAGAAATTGAGATCGAGCATCTAATAATAGACCATTAGTAACGCTAGCATATTGCATCAGTCACACTGATATTTAAAACACGTCAAATATTTTTTTTACGTGATGAAGAAAAAAATCCTGTTCATTTGTGTCACTTTAGCGAATGACGAAATCTGCATCATTATTAACATGATGCTATTTGGCACGATGGCGCCTGTTAGTTTTAAGGAGCCAGGGGCCGTACTATGCGGTAGTGTAATCGAGGGGAGGTGCTCCTGAGAGCGCCCCTCTACGTCCCTGACACATGGGTGGTAACCGAAGTGTGTTCTACCTGATTATTTCGGTGAGTGATTAATGTACACATAAGGTTTTCATGCGGTAGTGTAGGTCAACCCGTGTCCAGGTGTTTATGATCCAAGCGCAGGCATTGTTTACATTTAAATAACTCACTTTTAGAAAACAAGGTTACGCGTCTTAGAATATATGATTGGTAACGCGTTGGTGAAATCCTTCTAATATATTTCGTCAAACTTACTTCTATCCCCGCAACAACGCGGGCGACGGGTACGCTAGTACAAGATAAAGTGCTCATTTCGTGCCGTAATACTTTGAACAATTAGGCCGGTACATCTAATCTACAGGGTGTTACCCAGAGCTGTTAACTCCGAACGTTAATCTAGATTTTATTTGAAAGGCAACCAACTCATCACAAAGTTATTAAAGTGTAAAAAAAAAAAAAGAATGTGGAAGCAACATTTAAAAAAAATCCTATTCACTATTCTGAATCAAACAAAACATTCAGTCACGTTTGTTACATAACGTGCAAGGTAAAAATTCAATTAGTAAATGTCGTGAAAGAAATTGTGCTTTAAAATAAACATAGAGACATGCTTGATAACTGCGCAGATACGTAGCTCCATTAAGCCATCGATTTATTTATTTGAAACTAGATCTACTTCTAAAATACAATATCAGAGCAAGGAGGCTTACGTACGCGCATTTTGTTGCTTTAAAATTTGTAAGTCTTAGTTAACGCATTCAGGAATCTTAGCGACTTGTTAACATAAATTTAATAAAACAAGTTCACATAATACTATCAAAGAAATGTTCAAAAATAGATTTTACACGTTCACATAATGTTGTTAAAACATGTTCACATAATGTTATTAAAACATGTTCACATAATGTTAAAAAAACAAGCTCACATAATGTAATTAAAACATGCTCACATAATGTTATTAAAACATGCTCACATAATGTTATTAAAACATGCTCACATAATGTTATTAAAACATGCTCACATAATGTTATTAAAACATGTTCGAATAATGTAATTAAAACATGCTCACATAATGTTATTAAAACATGCTCACTTAATGTTATGGTCCTTACTGAATTTTGTTTTGATCACAGAGGTGCCTCTGTCAGACAACGGACTTCCACTTATAGCAGACAGTAGGTGATTTTTTAAATTTGCTGGTCAATGTGTTTGTCTGTTAGCTTATTCTCTGTTATTACTGATACAGTGATAGCCTAATATTCGCTTGTCTGTTAGTTTATTCTCTGTTATTACTGATACAGTGATAGCCTAATATTTGCATTATCGTTGACCAAACATTTATCTTTAAGTTAGAGTTAATAAAGCTTAGGCTGGTTAAACAACACCAATCATCTAGATTGTTCTCAGACTTTAGTTATTGTCACCTTAAACTTGAGGAAATCGTTGTTCTCAGACTTTAGTTATTGTCAACTTAATCTTGAGGAAATCATTGTTCTCAGACTTTAGTTATTGTCACCTTAAACTTGAGGAAATCGTTGTTCTCAGACTTTAGTTATTGTCACCTTAAACTTGAGGAAATCGTTGTTCTCAGACCTTAGTTATTGTCAACTTAAACTTGAGGAAATCATTGTTCTCAGACTTTAGTTATTGTCACCTTGTTCCACTCCAGGTTGTCTGTCGAGGGCAGACATCGTCATTTGTCTGGACGGGTCGACGAGTGTGACGGCCCCCAACTTTCTGATAGCCAAGGAGAACATCAAGTCCCTGGTCTCCCACCTACCTCTCTCCCAGGATGGGGTGCATGTTGCCGCTGTCCAGTTTAGTGGGAAAACTTTGCTGGAATTCCCACTGAACAGATACTATGATAGGTAATTCGAAACTAAAAGAGCTAGACTTTCGAGAAAAAATTATATATTATGTCTCCTTAGCCCTAAGCTTAGCGTTGACCTTTTCGTTAACCCTTAAAAATAAACCTAACCCTAAACCTTGACCCTAAAACCCTAACACAGACTGAGTTTGCTGCAAGCCATTGACAGAATCAACTACATGCATGGCAACACAGAGACAGGTCAGGCTCTGGATTATATCAGGACAAACGTCTTTGGGCCACTGATGGGGGCGCGCGTGGATGTGCCGCGAGTGGTCATCTTGTTGACAGGTGAATTTCATGGGTCATGCTGGCTTTTATATCAGACCATGAGTTCGGGTTATTGTGACATTATGTAAGATACATTTTCAAAAAGTCAGTTCCCACCTCTATTCCAGACGGACAGGCGAGTCACCACAATGCAGCGGTGGATGCAGGAGCGTTACTGAGACAGGCTGGCATCGCCATAGTCTCAGTTGGTATCGGCAGCAGGATCGATGCCACGGAGCTGGAGCAGATCTCAGGTTGTTTAAAGTTGGTTAGAGCTGAAATCTTGTGGTCCACAGTTGTGGTTAAATAATGTGGTCAGATGTTGTGGTTAAATAATGTGGTCCACAGTTGTGGTTAAATAATGTGGTCCACAGTTGTGGTTAAATAATGTGGTCCACAGTTGTGGTTAAATAATGTGGTCCACAGTTGTGGTTAAATAATGTGGTCCACAGTTGTGGTTAAATAATGTGGTCCACAGTTGAATTTAAATAATGTGGTCCACAGTTGTGGTTAAATAATGTGGTCCGATGTTGTGGTTAAATAATGTGGTCCGATGTTGTGGTTAAATAATGTGGTCCACAGTTGTGGTTAAATAATGTGGTCCACAGTTGTGGTTAAATAATGTGGTCCACAGTTGTGGTTAAATAATGTGGTCCGATGTTGTGGTTAAATAATGTGGTCCGATGTTGTGGTTAAATAATGTGGTCCACAGTTGTGGTTAAATAATGTGGTCCGATGTTGTGGTTAAATAATGTGGTCCAATCTTGTGGTTAAATAATGTGCTCCAATCTTGTGGTTAAACATTGCGGTTAAAAGTTGTGCTGTCAATTTGTTTGTGGTTCAAAGCTTTGTCATCAATTTATTTTGTGCCGTCTCGTTTTTTGTTTCTTGTTTCTGGAAAGTTTTTCCATTAGATAAATATCCACCTTTGTACAAAAGTAACTTCACTTACATTTTAGGAGATCCAAGCTACGTATTTAAAGCTTCAGACTTTCAGGGACTGACTTATTTGATAGAACCTATCCTCAACACCACCTGCCAAGGTATTTACTCAAGCAAATGAATATTGACAAATATGGACTTTATTATTATTAAACACAACTAAGTAATGAGAAAATACTCAGCTACAAAATGAACATCATTTAAATAACTACGAAGGATAGAGTTACTATCATCGAGCAATAACTAACCACACGTGTCAGAATTTGTTGTTTTAATTTATTTTTCTTCCCATTTTTCAGTACAAACAATGACACCCTCACCAACGAGCCCAACCAGTAAGTGATCATGTGATCAGGTACATTGCAAAGGAACAGATTTATCTAGGCTTGAGTCTATTTTTAGTTTTGTATTGCTTATCAACCTTGGTTAAATTATTTTTGGGAGACATCAACAATTAAGTGACACCAAGTTTATAAAGTATCGATTAATTGGGTGGGGGGGGGGATAAATTTTCCAGGAGGGAGGGGCGTACACGGGTAAATATATTTTCTATTTCAATTATATTTCGTTTGGGGTGGGTCGCGGTGCTATCCCCTCCCTCGAAGAGATGCCTGGAAGAAACACTGGGGTGAACCAAATTATCCATGAGTATGTACAATCTTATCACGTGGTCTTTGTTGTCCACCTAATCACGTGATTGTATCTGCTACAGCCCCTGGTATCGAGACGTGTGTTGACAACATCACAACGTGCAACTTGTACATCGAACAAAACACAGAAAATGGCGGCTTTTGTGCCCATTACGTCGAGATGGCCAAAACATCGTGTGCTCGCTCCTGTGGATACTGTACCAGTAAGAATAGTCGTGACAATATCAATATTTATATGTGTCTTTAAATATTTGTCTGTATTTTATGAACAACTACCCCTTTGATAGCCATGAAGTTGTTGAGTACTTTCGAACACTAAAGAAATGAGCAAGTTTAAATGGTTTTGAGAAAATATTAACTGAGTTGTTTCTATTTATCCATTATGCATTCCTTCACTATCTTAAAGTTTTCTTACTTACCTGTTTAAATTCTCGTATACGGAGAACAAAGAAAGTATTGATTGAAGTCGTGCAAAAATTGAGATCGAAATTTTGACTAATATCTACTTTTACACCTCCAAGTCGGAAAATTTAGTATTGAAATCTGGTGTGGTCTAGTCTGGTCTGGTCTAGTCTGGTCTGGTCTGGTCTAGTCTGGTCTGGTCTGGTCTGGTCTGGTCTGGTCACATCCCTGGTCTGGTCTGGTCTGGTCACATCCCTGGTCTGGTCTGGTCACATCCCTGGTCTGGTCTGGTCTGGTCACATCCCTGGTCTGGTCTGGTCTGGTCTGGTCACATCCCTGGTCTGGTCTGGTCACATCCCTGGTCTGGTCTGGTCTGGTCTGGTCACATCCCTGGTCTGGTCTGGTCTGGTCACATCCCTGGTCTGGTCTGGTCACATCCCTGGTCTGGTCTGGTCACATCCCTGGTCTGGTCTGGTCACATCCCTGGTCTGGTCTGGTCTGGTCACATCCCTGGTCTGGTCTGGTCACATCCCTGGTCTGGTCTGGTCTGGTCTGGTCACATCCCTGGTCTGGTCTGGTCTGGTCTGGTCTGGTCACATACCTGGTCTGGTCTGGTCTGGTCTGGTCACATCCCTGGTCTGGTCACATCCCTGGTCTGGTCTGGTCTGGTCACATCCCTGGTCTGGTCTGGTCTGGTCACATCCCTGGTCTGGTCTGGTCTGGTCTGGTCACATCCCTGGTCTGGTCTGGTCACATCCCTGGTCTGGTCTGGTCTGGTCTGGTCTGGTCTGGTCTGGTCACATCCCTGGTCTGGTCTGGTCTGGTCTGGTCTGGTCACATCCCTGGTCTGGTCACATCCCTGGTCTGGTCTGGTCTGGTCACATCCCTGGTCTGGTCTGGTCTGGTCACATCCCTGGTCTGGTCTGGTCTGGTCTGGTCACATCCCTGGTCTGGTCTGGTCTGGTCTGGTCTGGTCACATACCTGGTCTGGTCTGGTCTGGTCTGGTCTGGTCACATCCCTGGTCTGGTCACATCCCTGGTCTGGTCTGGTCTGGTCACATCCCTGGTCTGGTCTGGTCTGGTCACATCCCTGGTCTGGTCTGGTCTGGTCTGGTCTGGTCACATCCCTGGTCTGGTCTGGTCTGGTCTGGTCACATCCCTGGTCTGGTCTGGTCTGGTCTGGTCTGGTCACATCCCTGGTCTGGTCTGGTCTGGTCTGGTCTGGTCACATCCCTGGTCTGGTCTGGTCTGGTCACATCCCTGGTCTGGTCTGGTCACATCCCTGGTCTGGTCTGGTCTGGTCTGGTCTGGTCACATCCCTGGTCTGGTCTGGTCTGGTCACATCCCTGGTCTGGTCTGGTCTGGTCTGGTCTGGTCACATACCTGGTCTGGTCTGGTCTGGTCTGGTCACATCCCTGGTCTGGTCACATCCCTGGTCTGGTCTGGTCTGGTCACATCCCTGGTCTGGTCTGGTCTGGTCACATCCCTGGTCTGGTCTGGTCTGGTCTGGTCTGGTCACATCCCTGGTCTGGTCTGGTCACATCCCTGGTCTGGTCTGGTCTGGTCTGGTCACATCCCTGGTCTGGTCTGGTCTGGTCTGGTCACATCCCTGGTCTGGTCTGGTCTGGTCACATCCCTGGTCTGGTCTGGTCACATCCCTGGTCTGGTCTGGTCTGGTCTGGTCTGGTCTGGTCACATCCCTGGTCTGGTCTGGTCTGGTCACATCCCTGGTCTGGTCTGGTCTGGTCACATCCCTGGTCTGGTCTGGTCTGGTCTGGTCACATACCTGGTCTGGTCTGGTCTGGTCTGGTCACATCCCTGGTCTGGTCACATCCCTGGTCTGGTCTGGTCTGGTCACATCCCTGGTCTGGTCTGGTCTGGTCACATCCCTGGTCTGGTCTGGTCTGGTCTGGTCACATCCCTGGTCTGGTCTGGTCTGGTCTGGTCTGGTCACATCCCTGGTCTGGTCTGGTCTGGTCACATCCCTGGTCTGGTCTGGTCTGGTCTGGTCACATCCCTGGTCTGGTCTGGTCTGGTCTGGTCACATCCCTGGTCTGGTCTGGTCACATCCCTGGTCTGGTCTGGTCACATCCCTGGTCTGGTCTGGTCACATCCCTGGTCTGGTCTGGTCACATCCCTGGTCTGGTCTGGTCTGGTCACATCCCTGGTCTGGTCTGGTCACATCCCTGGTCTGGTCTGGTCTGGTCTGGTCACATCCCTGGTCTGGTCTGGTCTGGTCACATCCCTGGTCTGGTCTGGTCACATCCCTGGTCTGGTCTGGTCTGGTCTGGTCTGGTCTGGTCACATCCCTGGTCTGGTCTGGTCTGGTCACATCCCTGGTCTGGTCTGGTCTGGTCACATCCCTGGTCTGGTCTGGTCTGGTCTGGTCTGGTCACATCCCTGGTCTGGTCACATCCCTGGTCTGGTCTGGTCTGGTCTGGTCTGGTCACATCCCTGGTCTGGTCACATCCCTGGTCTGGTCTGGTCTGGTCACATCCCTGGTATGGTCTGGTCTGGTCTGGTCTGGTCACATCCCTGGTCTGGTCTGGTCTGGTCTGGTCTGGTCTGGTCACATCCCTGGTCTGGTCTGGTCTGGTCACATCCCTGGTCTGGTCTGGTCACATCCCTGGTCTGGTCTGGTCTGGTCACATCCCTGGTCTGGTCACATCCCTGGTCTGGTCTGGTCTGGTGTGGTCTAGTCTGGTCTGGTCTGGTCTGGTCACATCCCTGGTCTGGTCTGGTCACATCCCTGGTCTGGTCTGGTCACATCCCTGGTCTGGTCTGGTCTGGTCTAGTCTGGTCACATCCCTGGTCTGGTCTGGTCACATCCCTGGTCTGGTCTGGTCTGGTCTGGTCACATCCCTGGTCTGGTCTGGTCTGGTCTGGTCTGGTCACATCCCTGGTCTGGTCTGGTCACATCCCTGGTCTGGTCTGGTCACATCCCTGGTCTGGTCACATCCCTGGTCTGGTCTGGTCTGGTCACATCCCTGGTCTGGTCTGGTCTGGTCTGGTCACATCCCTGGTCTGGTCTGGTCTGGTCTGGTCTGGTCACATCCCTGGTCTGGTCTGGTCTGGTCACATCCCTGGTCTGGTCTGGTCTGGTCTGGTCACATCCCTGGTCTGGTCTGGTCTGGTCTGGTCACATCCCTGGTCTGGTCTGGTCACATCCCTGGTCTGGTCTGGTCACATCCCTGGTCTGGTCTGGTCACATCCCTGGTCTGGTCTGGTCACATCCCTGGTCTGGTCTGGTCTGGTCACATCCCTGGTCTGGTCTGGTCACATCCCTGGTCTGGTCTGGTCTGGTCTGGTCACATCCCTGGTCTGGTCTGGTCTGGTCACATCCCTGGTCTGGTCTGGTCACATCCCTGGTCTGGTCTGGTCTGGTCTGGTCTGGTCTGGTCACATCCCTGGTCTGGTCTGGTCTGGTCACATCCCTGGTCTGGTCTGGTCTGGTCACATCCCTGGTCTGGTCTGGTCTGGTCTGGTCTGGTCTGGTCTGGTCACATCCCTGGTCTGGTCTGGTCTGGTCTGGTCACATCCCTGGTCTGGTCTGGTCTGGTCTGGTCTGGTCACATCCCTGGTCTGGTCTGGTCTGGTCTGGTCTGGTCACATCCCTGGTCTGGTCTGGTCTGGTCACATCCCTGGTCTGGTCACATCCCTGGTCTGGTCTGGTCTGGTCTGGTCTGGTCACATCCCTGGTCTGGTCTGGTCTGGTCACATCCCTGGTCTGGTCTGGTCTGGTCTGGTCTGGTCACATACCTGGTCTGGTCTGGTCTGGTCTGGTCACATCCCTGGTCTGGTCACATCCCTGGTCTGGTCTGGTCTGGTCACATCCCTGGTCTGGTCTGGTCTGGTCACATCCCTGGTCTGGTCTGGTCTGGTCTGGTCTGGTCACATCCCTGGTCTGGTCTGGTCACATCCCTGGTCTGGTCTGGTCTGGTCTGGTCACATCCCTGGTCTGGTCTGGTCTGGTCTGGTCACATCCCTGGTCTGGTCTGGTCTGGTCACATCCCTGGTCTGGTCTGGTCACATCCCTGGTCTGGTCTGGTCTGGTCTGGTCTGGTCTGGTCACATCCCTGGTCTGGTCTGGTCTGGTCACATCCCTGGTCTGGTCTGGTCTGGTCACATCCCTGGTCTGGTCTGGTCTGGTCTGGTCACATACCTGGTCTGGTCTGGTCTGGTCTGGTCACATCCCTGGTCTGGTCACATCCCTGGTCTGGTCTGGTCTGGTCACATCCCTGGTCTGGTCTGGTCTGGTCACATCCCTGGTCTGGTCTGGTCTGGTCTGGTCACATCCCTGGTCTGGTCTGGTCTGGTCTGGTCTGGTCACATCCCTGGTCTGGTCTGGTCTGGTCACATCCCTGGTCTGGTCTGGTCTGGTCTGGTCACATCCCTGGTCTGGTCTGGTCTGGTCTGGTCACATCCCTGGTCTGGTCTGGTCACATCCCTGGTCTGGTCTGGTCACATCCCTGGTCTGGTCTGGTCACATCCCTGGTCTGGTCTGGTCACATCCCTGGTCTGGTCTGGTCTGGTCACATCCCTGGTCTGGTCTGGTCACATCCCTGGTCTGGTCTGGTCTGGTCTGGTCACATCCCTGGTCTGGTCTGGTCTGGTCACATCCCTGGTCTGGTCTGGTCACATCCCTGGTCTGGTCTGGTCTGGTCTGGTCTGGTCTGGTCACATCCCTGGTCTGGTCTGGTCTGGTCACATCCCTGGTCTGGTCTGGTCTGGTCACATCCCTGGTCTGGTCTGGTCTGGTCTGGTCTGGTCACATCCCTGGTCTGGTCACATCCCTGGTCTG